AAGCCACCCAGGCGCCCCTGCTAATTTACATTTTTACTATTTGCCTATTTCCTTTGTTTTAAAAGTAGTAATTTTTTTCTAATATATAATCTCTATAAAACACTTAGTAGAGAAAAAGTTAAAACCTTTTTGCAAACCTAAATTCCATCTCTTTTCTTTCCTCTAAAATCATCACTGGTATAGGTTGGTATTTTTCTTTCTAGATTATTAAATATTAAGTACACATATACAATTAAATGTCACTTATTCCTAGGTAGCTTTCACTTCTTTGTTGCTACTGAGATTGCAGCTGTATTTTTTAACTTTGGTATGAGGGAAAACAATTTTTAATCTCTGTAATAAAAAAACCCTTTATTCTCTTGGTTTTTAAACATTTATGTCATCTACAAATAATGATAACTGTCTTTCCTTGCAGATAGTCATGCTTCTAATTTCTTTTTCATGTGTCAGTGTAACAACTAAAACTACTAGAACAATTTTTTTTTTAAAAAGATTTATTTATGAGAGTGTGCACACGTGAGCAGGAAAGGGGCAGAGGGAGAGGGAGACAAGCAGACTCCCCACCAAGTGGCGAGCCTGATGTGGGGCTTAATCCCAGGACTCCAGGATCATGACCCAAGCTGAAATCAAGACTCAGATGCTCAAGTGACTGAACCACCCAGGCACCCCTACTAGAACAATGTTAAACAAAAGTGGCAAATAGGACAACACAAGAATACCTTGTACTGCCAAGAATGGTATTGGCTTTGGACAGATTTTTAATAATCATGTCAAGGAAACATTGTTCTTATTTTAGTAAGAGTATTTTTTTTAAATTTTTTATTGTTATGTTAATCACCATACATTACATCATTAGTTTTGGATGTAGTGTTCCATGATTCACTGTTTGTGCCTAACACCCAGGGCTCCACGCAGAACGTGCCCTCTTTAATACCCATCACCAGGCTAACCCATCCCCCCACCCCCCTCCCCTCTAGAACCCTCAGTTTGTTTTTCAGAGTCCATCGTCTCTCATGGTTCGTCTCCCCGTGTGCAAGACTGTTAAATCATAGTAAGAGTATTTTTTAAAAACCAAGAGTTGTTGAAAGGATCTGGCTTTTAAAACACATTAATGGTTGAGGTGCCTGGGTGGCTCAGTCGGTTAAGCATCCAACTCCTGATTTTGGCTCAGGTCATGATCTCAGGGTGGTGGGATCCAGTCCTGTGTCAGGCTCTATCTACACCCAGTGTGGAGTCTACTTGGGATTCTCTCTTTCCCTCTCTCTCTGCCCCTCCCCCAGCTCTCTAAATAAATAAAATCTTTAAAAAAGACACATTAATGGTTAAAAAAATTACAACAGGATAGATACTTACGATGACAGATGCTCATCAGGAACTGTAAAACACAAATGGGAAGAAAGTTAATCATCTTAAACCAGTGGCCATAGACAAAATCTTTAAAAGACTATAACCAAGAAGATTTTTGTGTAAGACGGTAAATTAAGTCTATGCATCTAATTTTACTCCTTCCAAATATTCCACTAAACAATAATAAAAGGATTATTTTAAAAAAGCATAAATTCCCCAGGATGAAAGGACAGGGAGAAACAACAGCTAAGATACACTGGAAAATAATTTACAAGACCTGAGGAAACTGAATCCTAAGCTAGCAATGGAGAGAGCCAAGCAATAACCTCATTTATACTCCAAAATCCAGTATTCTCTTACCCCTACAACCCTCAGAAACTGGTGGCACCAGATCGCTTTGGAGATGGGGATGAAGCGGGGGGGGCGGGGTTAAAATAATAGACTCTTTTAAAGTAAGTTTAAGGAGATAGATGGTAGTGGAATAACGCTTTCAGATGTCTGAAGAAATACTACTTCCAACATATAATTCAATATCTAGCCAAGCTATCATTTAAGGGTGAGGTTAGAAAAAACTTTTTAGACACGTAAGGCTTCAAAAAGTATACCTCATATACGCTTCTTCAGGAAGCTACTGGAGAATGTGCTCTATAAAATAAGATAGTAAACCCAGAAAAAGAAAACTGTAGAGGGGCACCTGGGTGGCTCAGATGGTTAAGCGTCTGCCTTCGGCTCAGGTCATGATCCCGGGGTCCTGGGATCCAGCCCCGCATCGGGCTCCCTGCTAGGCAGGGAGCCTGCTTCTCCCTCTGCCTCTGCCTCTCTCTCTCTCTCTCTCTCTGACTCTCGTGAATAAATAAATAAAACATTTAAAAAAAAAAAAGAAAATTGTAGATAAACATACCGCTCAACACAGGCAAAGGGAATTCCTAGGATAATAATGGTAAAGGAAGATCTCAGGAAATAGCTAGGAGGGCAGTCAGGCCAATAGCTAGGAGAGCAAGTCTAGGCTCTAGGAGAGATTTCCACAGAAGAATGAAACGGATACAACATCTCACTCATCTGAACATATGGAGTAGAGATTTAGAACACTGGTGAAGAGTTTGAGGTTGAATTAGGGATACATACATAGAAAACTAAAAAAACACAACCACAACAGTTGTAATTCCAGGCAAAACAAAAAGTTATGCAGGAAAGGAGAAGCAACCACAGCTTCCTACGTGGCCCAGCTGTGATTAGATATCACATCACCATACAAGTGTAAACTCAGAATCTTGATCTAAAAATATTATCATTGAAGCATAGAGAACAGTAATAGTGCATTACTACGTAGAACAAATATTTTAAAATAGCAGGAAACGGTTCTGCTGGAGATAAACACGAATCAATGGCAGTGGTCCCTCTGCCTGAGCCGTGAGCCAAGAGAGTCACAGTGTATGGATTAACCCATTCAGACAGAGCCCACTTTTGGCAACCAGTGTTTGAGCTAACAGATTGTTTTTTTCCCCATCCTTTTGGGGATCCCGACATATGTGAATACCTGCCTGGCCTAATCTTTTTAAACATACATACCATGCTTAGGTCAGTATGGATAAATACAGTAACTCAAGATAAACCCTTTCGGGGCGCCTGGGTGACTCAACTGGTTAAGATAAACCCTTTCAAAGTACACTCCTTTTAAAACAAAAGCCGTCCACGTGAAAAAGCAGCGGCAATTTTGAGGTGTGCACTGCTATTAAGTGGCCGTTTTTTACACTGGTTGAGTAGTTCGAATTGGTCAGTGCATTCTGATTAGAATTGTCATCTTTAATACTAGCATGCCCCGAACACATCTTGAGACCGCCTGGGTGATTTTTGGTAAGCAGTCACAGAGCATCCTCTGCTGGTCAGAGAAGTAACAGTTACTTTCACAATATCCCTATTTACTCCAGTCACTGCGTATGCATTTGGGTCTCAGGTTCTAAAATATTTATCTGGTGCACACAGTGTGCGCGACGATTAATTTTAGAGTTAAGATTTTGAGGGGGGAGAAAAAGACCACAGGCAAGCTTAATAATAAATTAAGAACTTCACCTCCCCGTACTTGCCCGCAAGCTCCCGTGTCTTCTGCCCTCCTGGCCCAAGGTCCCTTCTCAGGGGTTTCGTGGCAGCGCCCAGCACTTCTGTCCCTGCTGCCCCGCCGTACCGCAGGGAACCACCGCGCTGCTCCCTAAACAAATCGGGCTTTCCTTTTTTTTTTTTTAACGAACTGGGGTTCGGGAATAGAACAGCATGGGAAAAAAGCTCGGAGAAGCCAGGACGAAGAGCGCAGGGGCAGCGCCCCCAACCCCGCGCCCCTCAGGCCCAGAGAACTCCGCCTCTCGCCTCCCCGCCCGGCCAGGCCAGGTCCACCGCCCACAGCGCAGCTACGCACGCCCTCCGGCCCGTACTTCGCGCGTTCTCCTGCACCGCCGCAGCCATCTCGCTCAGGAGCTCCTCGACGACAGCGGGCAAAGTGACTCCCGGCAAGGCGAAGGCCATGGCGTCCCAGGCCTAAATTTAGCCTCCCCCAAAAGCCCAGCAGGTGCGACGCTCCGACGGCTCTAGGGAGAATTCCCGCCGTCGGTCGGGGGCGGGGCGAGGCGAAGGGACGTCGGCGCGCGTCACGCGCATGCGGGCGGCCACGACGACACCTCCTCCCACCTCGCGGCCCGACCAATCCGGTGGGCGCTCGGCGCTGGGGGCGGGACGTCCTGGGATCCGGCCGGGCCTGCAGTGCGCCGAGGACGCCGCGCGAGCATGTACCGGCTCCTGAGCCCGAGCCTGGGCCGAGGCCTTCTGCGGGCCGCGGGGCGGCGGTGCCGGGCCTGCTCGGCGCGCCTGCTCCCGGGGCCGGCAGGAGGCCGGGCGCCTGAGGTGGGGGTGCCGGCATCCCGAGTCGCGCCGCGCGGCGGAGGCCCGGGCCTGCTGCCGCTGCTGGCAGGTGAGGGGCGCGGGCCGGGCGGGGCCGGCCGGGCGGGGACCGGGGCGCAGGCCGGGCCCGGTGACCTCAGAGCCCCTTCCCGCAGCGCTCGCCTGGTTCTCGAGGCCCGCTGCGGCAGAGGAGCAGGAGGAGGAGCGGCAGGGAGCGGGCGGGGCCGCCGCCGAGGGCGCGGCGGACGAGGCCGAGGCCGAGATAATCCAGCTGCTGAAGCGAGCCAAGGTGAGGCGGCCTTTGTGAGCGAGGCCTGTTCGTTGGCCCTGTGGGTGCGCAGTGCTCGCTCCAGTTTCCCGAAGACTGGAATGAGGGCTCCGGGGGTAGAATTGCCCGGAATTCGATGGGTCATGGTTGGGGGGGGCGGTGTTGGCATCCATCCAGGCTTGTCAGACTCCAGAGCCTGCAGTCAGACCGCTGCAGTCCCCAGTGCAGATGGAGGTGGCACCACGGGCATCGCTCTTTTATCCAAGCAAAATTAGCGGAAATGTAGTTGTTTTTATCAGGGAGCCAGCCAAGCCGAAGAGACTGGCATCGAGAATTGGGAACGTACGGAGCGTCCAGAAAATGCACTTGAGTGTTGGTTCTGTTCTTTCTAAAGTCTTCCTTTTCTCCACAATCTTTTCTGTTTTGTCCTCAGGTTATCTCATTCTCTGCCATTGGGCTCGCTACCGCCTCGGTGCTAACGACATCCAAATTTATATTCTTGTGCTGCAGTGTGCTACTGACATGCCCTCTCCACTTTGGGGCCTCACCTGCCCCTCAGACCTGGCTGTTGATCGCAGAGGCCTCCCCAGCCCGTTCCTTCACCCATCTTCTCTTTGCTGCCATCTACCCAGTTTTCCAGCCTGGCAACCTAGTCGTTCTTAAAACCTGAGGGTACCTTACCACTGCCTCTCAGTACACTTCCAGCCCAGCAACAGTTACTGTTGCCAGCAAATTCCAAGTATTTCTGAAATCTGCCCTTTTTTTGCCCTCTGCTGTCCTCCTGGCCACATTGCCACAGCCTGCTGTCTGGTAGTTTTGCCTGCCCTGTTGCCCCGCTCTTCATGCAGCAGCCTGAATTCATTTTTTTTTTTTTTAATGTAAATTGGGGGGCGCCTGGGTGGCTCAGTCGGTTAAGCCTCCAACTTGATTTCAGCTCAGGTCATGATCTCAGGATTGTGAGTTCGAGCCCCACTTCCGGCTCCCTGCTGGATGGGGAGTCTGCTTGAGGACCCCCCCGCCCCGCACACTCTCTCTCTCTAAAAATAAATCTTAAAAGAATATTTAAGTTAAAAAATGTAAATTGGATCGTATTCTCTTTGCCTAAAAATTTTTGAGTGACTTCCCACTGTATTTATAAAATCCAAACTCCTCACTATGGCCTGCAAGACCCTACATAACCTACACCACCCTGCCTTGCCCACCCATTTAGCAGTAATCCTCTGGCTCACCGTCTCCCCTTCACATGTGTTTCATTTCTTGAATGATTCTTGAAGACTGTTCTCTTCGGCATATAGGGCCTGTGTTCATCCCCTACTCTCTGGGTCATTATTCCCCATAATTCCTGGTTGATTCTTTCTCATCCTTCCTACCTCAGTTTAACTGTCACTTCCTCGGAAGGCTTCTCGGATTCCCATTTAGAGGGGACTCCTTATTGTTCCTTCCCATTACTTTTCTTCATAGTTTATATCAGTTGTTTTTAAGCTTCTTTGTCCTACAGGGTTATTTCCGGCCTGTAGGAAGGGAAGAAGAGGATGTAGGGAAAGCAGCTTCCTTATAAAATAGGATGCAGAAATTGCTCACATTTCTGGTGTCTGGCTCTGTTGGCCAGAACTTTGCCATGTGGCTGCACATAGCTGCAAGGGAAGCTTACCTCCCTGTTACCATTGTAGACGTAAAGCCTGGTGCACAGTTGGAATTCAATAAATATTTGACGAATGAATGGATAGCTGTCTTCTGTGTATTGGGGTGTATGGCCATATCCCTTCAGTCTGGTAGCACATAACACCTGCTTTCTTTACATTTCATTTTCTGTTCCTTTCTTTGTTTTCTCTTTTCAGTTGAGCATCATGAAAGATGAGCCAGAAGAGGCTGAGTTGATTTTACATGACGCTCTTCGTCTTGCCTACCAGAGTGATAACAGGAAGGCCATCACTTACACTTACGATTTGGTAACTCTTCTAACAGTCTGAGCCACTGATGATGAAGGGTGGATACCACAGAAGGGTTGTTCACTCTCCTGATTTATGCTCCTGACCTTCAGGGTGTTGTAAAGCTCTTTCATTTTTGTTTTTACTAACGTTTTCTTTTGGTTCCAATTTTTATTACCCTTGGGTACTAACATTTTATCACTCTTCGCTTACATGAAGTCTAAATCTCACACGAAAAATAAATGTCATTAGTATTTGTTTTTTCAGTGATGATTGGATCTAGATTTGGTTTGTCATCAGCAAAGATTGTGCAACTGTTTACACACACTATTGCTGTGCTTTGATTTTAGCTAATTAAATACCTTTCTCTTTGAACTTTTTTTTTTAATTTAGAGGGTAAAAATAAAAGGAAGTCATTAGCTTAAAGGTTTTGAAGTAAGTAGAATGCAGTGCTCTAAACTGAAAAACAATTTGTAATTTGCTTTCAGATGGCCAACCTAGCATTTATACGGGGTCAACTTGAAAATGTAAGTAAGTAAAATCAGTTTGTGGTATTTTGAATTTGTGAAGGACTAGCTTCCAGGGAACTCTTATTAGTAAGGGTACAAGCTCGGCTGCTGTAACAGAGACCCCAAAATAGAGTGACTCAAACAAGAGGGTGTATTTCTTTTAAGGCATTATTCCAGAGTTAGCTGTGCACTGAAGAATGGTAGATAACTCTGTTCCATGAAGTGGGCCGCAGGTCTGAGTTCGTTCTAAGATGTGTTCTCATCTGCATTGGTGAGCTAGCTCACCCCCAGCCTCCAGGAAGGATGCAGAGGAGGGAAAGGGCAGGCAGGCAGCTTCCTTATAAAATAGAATTTAAAAATTGTTCGCGTTCCTTCTACCTGCATCCCTTGGCCGAAACCTCATCATATGACCATACCTAAGTGCACAGGAGGCTGATATGTTAAAAACTGAGGAGATGTTGTAACTGAAAGGTTAGGAGAGTGAATGATTAGGGGATAGTTTGCAGTTTCTCCCACAGTAGGTTTAGATGAAGTTGGTTTCTACTCATTACAGAGTAGTTTTTAAGGTGCCCAGAAGAGGTGGGGTCCTGGTATTTTTGTCTGTTTTCCCATCACGAGGATGTTTTGCTCTGTGTATATAAGTGTGTGCGTTGTGTTTTACAAGGGGCTGATGCATCAGACTAGTACTTAGAATCCAGGGTCGCAAGTAAAAGAAAAATCTTTTCCTTATGCTTTTAGGCAGAAAAGCTTTTTAAAGCAACAATGAGTTACCTGCTTGGAGGGGGCATGCAACAGGTAAGGACATTGCCTAGGATTGGGCCCTAGCTGGAGCAGTTTTCAAAATAGTTTTGCTTCCTGAAAACTCCACTCAGCCCCCACCATGTGCTTTGGCGAAAAAAGGTGGATTTTTTTTTTTCCCCCTTGGGCCTGTATAACAACTACCAGTCTTCCACTGGGGCAAAAACATGGTTGCTGAGGAATCCAATTGCCTAATCTCTCCAGAAGGATAAAGACTATGGCTTTTAGACCAAAGTCTCTCTAGATGTTGATCAGAAATAATCCATGAGGAAATTTAACGTGTGTGAATTATCTTCATTTCCTTTCTCCCAACAGGAAGACAATGCAATAATTGAAATCTCTCTAAAGCTGGCCAGTATCTATGCTGCTCAAAATAGGTAAGTAGAGTCAGAATCTAGGTGTGGCGGCAGCCAGGGAGTTGGGCTATGGGCAGAGAACTTTAACCGTAGGATGTTAGTAATTTTCATTTGGCTTCCAATCATCTGCGTCTCAAAAGAACTGGGTGTCTCACTCAAAGTGTTCCCCGCACCCCACCTCTGAAGTCTTGAGTCTTCTAGTTTTGCCCCGCTGTTTCCAATAGCCTGCTGAGTGGAGCAGACAGCCCTCACCCCTCTGGCTGCCCTAAAGCCAATCAGCTTTTCTGTTCCTGTTTGAACTGGGAAGGGAAGTTATAGTTAGAACTAGTTTAGCTCTGCCTAGAAGAGGAGGGAGCAATGTAAAAGCCGTTGGGGTAATATACTTTGAAGGAACCATTTTTGCATATAAGTGTCAACAAACCAGGAAGGTAGATACATAGTTGAGTGAGGAAGGAGTTGGAATGGGAGTGTCTCGGTGGCTAGTCCAGTAGGCAGTGTTTTTAAAGCATGTAAAGGTGATCAGGTAGCGAGTTTTAAGAAGGGGAAATACCTCAGAGTAGAGGAGTGAGCTCTGGATAAGTAAGATAGGAAATTGGTGTTAATTTAAAAGTATTAGATGAGTCTGAAATCTTGTAAAGAAGAATCTTTCTGCTACACAGGAAAGGCTTTAGAAGATGATTCGGATGCGTACAAATGGTCCCAGGAACACCGATGAGTGAGGCCTCGTGCCTTCCATTCTCTCTAGGTGGAGTTCAAAGACGGAGCACCT